GGCTTAGGGCTTAGGGTTGAGGGTTGGGTTTACCTTTTGTCTGTATTGTAGTTCCTTTTGGGGTTTACCTTTTTAGGATCCTGAATATAAAATTGGTTAAACCAGAAAAAGGAACTACAATGGAGACTACAGGTAGGGTTGAAGGTTTTTTGGTTCAAAGCTTGTTTGGTACACCTTCGTCCAATCGGATAGAGCATAAAGCTATGATTATTATATCCGGCCTGCATTGTAAGAAGGGCCCTTCAACTAAGGTCATTATATCTGGCTTATATTAGAAGAGAGAGCCCAGAGACAGCCCTCTATCACATGGAGGTAGCTGACGTCCGGAGCAAGCACCCCAAACCTGGTAAGCTGCAACATGGGGGAGGGAGGCTCTCCAAATGAGGATTGCTGTGCCCCTAAGGGTCCATGTGCCCAAATGGTATATACTTTGGTCCCAAAGTACCTATATAGGGACGACTTTAAGGCCAAAGTATCTACTATTTGGTAATTTGGGTACTTGGACCCTTAGGGTACTAGGTTGGCTTGAGGGTTTAGGGCTGAGGGTTAAGCAACGAAAGGGATCCCAACTCAGAGAACACCCCATATATGCAAAAGGAACAAACACTGGAAGCACTCACAATGAGCCAGAAGTACCACGCCGTGTCAGTCAGCAATTGCACTCATGCAAATAAAACCAAGGCTGTAAAGCTCAGCGAGTGACAGTTTACGGCATACCCTAATCAAACACCCTTTCTTGCCATCATTCTCAGACGGACTACGACTTTGAACTTTGAGAGTCAGTGCCGCCATTACTCCCAGGATTGCCGCAAGCATGCAACGGGACCCATGCTTCTAACTAAGACTTCTACTGCTAGCCTCTTCATCGGCACTGTTACTCGTCTCACTGCCGCGTTAAGAGCCGAAACCCCTAAACCCTAAACCCACCACCCTAAACCCTAAGCCCTAAGCCCTAAACCCTAAGCCCTAAACTGTAACCTGCGAACCATAGCTCTGCTGCCTGGATGAGCTTGCCGCTGTAGAAACGACCTTTGGGCGTTTTAGGGGTTCAGGGGTTTAAGAGTTTAAGGGTTAGGGTTTAGGGTTTAGGGTTCAGATGCTCAAACTGAATGAACCACTGGACATATACTTTCGACAGTACCACCCTGAGAAAGAGCCGTAGGTTGCAACAGCTTCTGTAGATATGGCTTTTGCTAAGTGGGTAGTTCGAGTGCAGGGGCCATGATAGTTAGAATAGGGTTTTGGGGGATGGAGTATGCTAGGTTTCCGACAAGGAGCCTGAAGGAATAGCAATGGACATTTTCAGGACCCCTTACCATATTACAACCTTCATGGCTGTTCGAGGATCCAGGGGTCAACCGCCGCACGGTAAAGCCTAAACCGACTTAGGCCTCATGTAGGGGTCTTAATGATTAGAATAGGGTTTTGGAACCCAATCTACTATATTCATAATAAAGAACCCCCAAACCCCTATTCTAATTATTAAGGCCCCTACATTACCTATAGTCTCCATTGTAGTTCCTTGTTGGGGTTACTTTATACGATCCTAAATATAAACGTGGTTAAACTGAAACAGGAACAACGATGGAGACTGTAGATAGTGAGGGTGGGCAGGATTTTCCTGGTTTGGGATGTTCGGCTTCCCAGGGCCTCCTATGTGATTGACCTGTTGAACTCCGAAGAGAAACATTTAGGGTTCTGGACTTTGAAGTAACCAGGCAGAAGAAAGTATAGACTTTTATTTCATAATCTGGGTTGTAGTTTGGGGGCCCTGAAAAGTATTTATGAATAGGTACCTCAAAAGAAACCACAAGGGAAATGGTAAAGTTTCCCAAATTGCCACCTAGTAATGGTTCCTTTAGGGAACCGGTCCCCCCAAAAAAAGGATTAAAGTATGGTAGGTTCGATGCCTCCTGGGGATACATCAGGTCAGGCTTCGGGCTTGAGGTTAAGATTCGTTTCAGAACTGAATTTGATTGAGTGCCTATAATGTAGGGGCCTTAATAATTAGAGTAGGGTTTTGGGGGTTCCTTATTGTAACTATAGTATAATATACCCCAAATCCTAATTATTAAGGCCACTATATTAAATCATCAGAATAGGAGTTGATGGTGTAGTATTTCTGTTAGAAGATGCTCTTTCGCAGGCATTCCGACCCCATGCGTTCTATGGCACCTTCTGAAATCTCGGTTCTGTCCCCTTGGCCACCCTTGTCTTGCAACTCCAGTTCATCCAGCTCGTTTCCGCACATGCCGATGATCCTCCTCTGGGCAATGTTGCGATCATCGAAGGTGTACGTAGTCAAACCCAATAGCATCTGCTTTGTAACTCTCCAAATGTGTGCTGTCTTGCATGATCCCAGCTGGTGCTTCTTGCCATACTGTCTCTGCCATTGAAGTTGAAGTGAACCGCTTTCCGACGAAAACTGACACAGTGAGGTCTAGATCAATTTCTGGAATGGTAGCCGACCACCACTCACTCTCGACGACTCGCATTATTGTCTAAAGCTCCGAATCGCTCATTGCTGAGACCACACTTTCGCTCGATCCCCACTCTCTAGTCTGAGAGCGCTGAATTGTATGAGTTCTGACATGTGACATGTCACAGATCCTACCATTCCGTCCATAAGGACCACCGAAAGCAGATCCTACAATAACATCGCCTGCACGTTAACGCCCAGGACATCCGGAACCATAAACCCGAAGCCCCTCAAGCGTGAAGACTAAACCCCACTAGCTCAGTCCTCAACAAAACCTATATTCTACGCACTCCGAACCCTGCACGCTCTAAACTTAGCCATGAAAGCCCTCAACTCTCAAACCTAAGCCAAACCCCTAAGGTTTAGGGTTTAGGGTTTAGGGTTTAGGAACCCTCAACCCTTAGACCCCTTGAGGCGTGCCACCCGTCAGCTTCATCAACGCTCTTTCGGCATCCTCTTCGTGGTAGTACTTCACCTGGCGTGCGAGCGAGCTTGGCTTCTTGTTACATGGGATTAGGGCTTAGGCTTGATGGCTTAGGGTTTAGGGTTTAGGGTTTAGGGTTTAGGGTTTAGGGTTTAGGGTTTAGGGTTTAGGGTTGAGGGTGTCTCTGGCTTCCGTTGCCGGGATTGGGATTCATTGGGGATTTAGCGGTGAGGGCTGAGGGTTTAGGGTTGAGGATTTAGCCTCTCAGGCTTCACCACTGAGCCGAAAACGCAAAACGACGACTCCACTTTATCCTCAGTCTAAGTTGCACCTTTGCGGATCTATACCTTTAGTCAAAGAATATTCCTCAATCCAGGGGTATTGGAGTCTCTGAGATTGCAGAAACATGTAGGCTTTAGGGTTTAGTGTTTGAGCTGTAGGATTTACGGCTTCGGGTGTAAAGTTTACGTTTACGGCTTCGGCTTTAGAAGGTTTGGGGCTTAGGAACCTTTTTTCCACAAAGCAAGTCGCTGAACCCTAAGGGTTTAGGCTTCCCAAGCCCGGAGCGCGCTGCAATGTGAGAAAAGAGATCCACCCCTAGGTCGCCTGTACGGCACGGTTCATGTCAGGCATGGGCCGACGAACCCTGCAGGCAGAGTCATGCAAAAAAAATTCGTGCCCAAGGATCCGGATCCTTTCACGATCCTCCTTGGGCGGGCCGACCACGGCCTGAAGCTACGGAACGTCCACCTTCAATACCAGGCGGTTCCTTAGCGGCCCGGCTCGTGCTTGCAAAGCTAGACTCTGAGATCTAGCAGGATCCCCCAAAAAAACAAAAGCCTAAACCCAAATCCCTAAACCCCAAAAGCCTAAACCCTAAACCCCAAAACCCAAAACCCTACAGCCCAAAAGCCTAAAGCCTAAACCCTAAACCCTAAAACCAAACCTTAAGGATTCCCAAACCCAAAGCAGCGACCCCTAAACCCCTAAACCGCAAGCTGCAAAGTATGAAAGTCCTGCCTGCTCAACCTTTCAAAGTTGCCTCAAGCTAGCCTGGTTAAGGGTTTCAAGAGTATCTCAAGCTAGCCTGGTTTTGGGTTTTGGAGTTTAGAGTTTAGGGTTACCTTGTTCATGCACGCTTGCATTACTACTCCCCAAACTCTAGACATGCTCGTGCAAGCCCGAAATAAACCCTTATTTGGGTAGTTGTCAAAATTATGGTCCCTTTTGGGGTACCCTAAATAATAGGTGCCGTATTATAATAAGGACCCAAAAAGGGACCATAAGTTTGACAACCACCCATGGGTTAATGAGCATTCACTGTTCCTCTGGTTCAGTAGAGTTTAGGTTTAGGGTCTAGTTCTAACGCTACTGCACAAGCACATGAAGGACTGGCGGGGATGGAAGGTCCTGAACCTAAACCCCTAAACCCCAAACCCGAAACCCTAAACCCTAAACCCTGTAATCCTAAACCCGAAACCCTAAACCCTAAACCCAAAGTCCAAACGAAAAAGAAGCAAGCTTCACTACCAGGCCGTCTTCGTGGTGTCGAATTTCCGGGGACTTGTGGACCAAGCCTTTTGGGCCAGAAGGAAACTTCTTGCCTCAGGTTAAGGTTCAGGGTTTAGGGTTTAGGGTTTAGGGTTCAGGGTTTAGGGTTTAGGATTTTGGGGTTTAGGGTTTAGAGGTGTTGGGGTTTTGGGTTTGGGTTTGGGGTTTATCGTTTATGGTTGAGGCTTACTTAGGGTTCGGGACTCAGGTTACAGTGAGGAGTCAATGTAAGTCTCTGTCTGCAGTGACAACACAAGATGCAATTCGCTTTCGGTAAGGTCAATCTCGCGCCGACTGCAACACATGGGCAGCCAGTTGTCTAAAAAACGGGTACCTTTTAGGGTCCTTTTTAAAAGGGTGCCGTGCCGTACTAGATTGGGGGCCTAAACAGGGACCCTCATTTAGAGAACTACCCACATGCATATCTTTGGGAAGGAGGTGGGGCGGGTATGTACTCTGTTCTTGGATCCTCTTTGCAGACCTAGGCTGCCCTTCATGAAGAAGACATCCGCCACCCCCACCGAACAGACTTGGGATTCATCCTTGATGATTTTGTCGTTGCAACCACAGTAATCCAGCTCCCAGAAGTTGACGATGTCATCAGGTGCATACACCGTACCGACCGAGTTGTACGTGACGATGGCCCTTGCGCAGTAGTTGTCGCGGTGCCACCGGCTGCAGCAATTCTCCCCCATGACTTCAATCTTGAAGATGAGTGTGTTGCTCCATGGGCACAAGCTAGCCACCACGTTGCCGATGTCAATCACATCGCGGCGGATGCTGTTGCGTAGATCCTCCGGAAGCTTCATTCTCACCATCTTCAACAAAGCATCTCCAACCTGGGTTCTTGCTATGGGACTTGAATAGGGGTGTGAGTGTATATACCATTTATAAACACACACACACACACATATATATATATATATATATTGTATGCAGATACAGTTGCCTGCATATACTTCTACATCAGGCTGCTGTCGTCAAAAACATGTCGCCTACTATATGTTCCTAGTTCCTAGCATGGTAACTTTTCATCAAGTCCCATAAAATAACAATTTCTCACCATACTGCACAACAAGCTTCTCGTAGGGTTTAGGGTTTAGGGTTTGGGGTTTAGGGTTTAGGGCTTAGGGTCATTATTGATATCTTGAATCAAATCCGCCTGCTGTAGGGGCCCCAATAACTAGAATCGAGTATTGGGCTCCTTGGTAGTAGAATTAGAATCAGGAACCTCAAGAAAAATACTGGTACTTATTCAGGCTTCTAAATTACACCCCTAAACCCTACAGTAAGCCCTAAACCCCTAAACCCTAAACCCTAAACTTACACCCCCCAGAGGCCTTAAGCCTGGACCCAGCAACCTCTGCGAGATCGACTGAGCCCTTCTTGAACTCAATCTTCATCTGATCCTCCTCCCTGATGTCTCCTGGGTCCCTCTTCGGAATACAGGGTTTAGGGTTTAGGTGACAGTTTGGGGGGTTTGTGGGCATGTCTTCTTGGTCACTTTTAGGAATAGGGTTCAGGGCTTAGGTGACAGTTTGGCGTTTATGGTTGGGGGATGTTGGGGGGGTTTGGAGTTGGAAACAAAGAATCCTTTTCATGGGCTCCCTTTAAAGAATGCTTTAGGACATCCAAGCCACCAAAAAAGAGGGCTGACTAAGATTGACGTACCTGTCCAGTATCCCGGGGGGACTAAAGGGCAACCCTAAACCCTTAACCCTTAAGCTTGTTGATGATATGAGGAGTATAGTACTGCAAAATCCTTCAAGGTTGTCCACTCTACCACGAAGTTGACCATGTCTCCCTGCTTGCGGCTCCTTTCAAGACTGTCTTAGGAAGCCCCCCTAATATACGGACTTAACAATTGGAACAGGGTGTTGGGGCCCATTATGCTATACTTAATGAGGAACCCCCAAAATAGTATTCATAATTATCTAAGCCCCTACACCCTGGATCCTAAACCCTATGTAAGACCATGTCTCCCTGCTTGACGGCTTGATCCAAGATCGCTTGGAAGTCCTTCCACGAAGGTTCTCTCCTGGGTCAGAGTTGGGAAACTTGGTTTAGGGGGGGTTTGGGGTTTAGTTTAAGCTTCCCTAAACCCTAAACCCTAAACCCTAAACCCTAAACCCCAAACCGCAACATGGATCTGTGGCAAGTAAACTAGCGTCTGGCGTGAGTTTCGTCGTTCTGGTCACTTGCAGGAAGATCCTCCCTAAACCCATGCAGGGTTTAGGATTTAGGGTTCAGGGGTATAGGGTTTAGGGTTTAGGGTTTAGGGTTTAGGGAACCCAGCTTAAGAAGAGCCCAGTCTCTCGACAAGGAGGGCCTGATGCAGAGAGCTCTCTGGCAGAAGGAAGTCAGCGAGTGTCGAGCCCACCAGCACGGTCGAAGATGTTGCCTTTGTCGGCTCCTGGGATCTTAACTTGAAGGGGATTTTAGCTCTTCAGATACACAAGAAAACCAAGCGGGTTTAGTTTAGGGGTTTAGAGTTTAGGGTTTAGGGGATCCCTATGATGGTAAGTTGATGTCTAACAAGAACCCAGACTCAGCCAGCTTCGCTCGCTTTGAGGGGTCGGACGTGACCACGTCCAGTGGCGCTAAGATGCGTGGGCCTCCAAACAGTAAACCCTATAAAGTTGGAAGCCGGATTAAGGACAATAGATGGTGGGATTCACGATACGGGTAGTTCTCTAAGTCCCCAATATAGTACGGCACCCTTATAAAAAGGACCCCAAAAGGGACCCTAATTTAGAGAACTACCCATACTACTAACTGAGGCTTGTGGGTTTCCAAGTTTTGAGCTTCTACTGTACTATAGCAGCAAGTTCGAACAGGGCTCCTTTGAAGTGTTCCTACATAGGTGTCTAGAAGGGCAAGTATAGTAGCCTTAATCACCAGAACAAGGCTTTGGGGTATTCTTTTGTACGCTTCTAGTAAGGAGCCATGATGAGTGTTAAAACCCTAAACCCTAAACCCTAAACCCTAAACCCTAAACCCCAAACCCTAAACCCTAAACCCTAAACCCTAAACCCTAATGATACTATCATTCTGTATTCAGGCCTCCATAGCCACCCAGGGCCTTCGTCTCGGTGACGACCTGCGAGCTTTAGAAAATGACGGACCTTATGACAGAACCCCGGTTCAGGGTTTAGGGTTTAGGGTTTAGGGTTTAGGGTTTAGGGTTTAGGGTTTAGGGTTCACACTCATCACAAGGACCCCTGATTAAAGCACCCGTAGTTTTAAAAAACCCTAAACCCTGAAGCCCTAATTAATTCCAGAGCCCATATAGTCCCAATAAGCCAGGGGGAATAAATGTCAGATTACTACTAAATTTTCTAGGGACCCAAGAACTTAAAGGTTGGGTGTTGGGGGAACTAAGTAAGCGCCCTAAGTAAAAGGAACCTTCAAAGGACCTGAGTTCTCGGAAACCCCCCCCACCTGCATATCGGTTCAGGAAAGCCCAGGTGCACCACGCAGATGTCGACCCGCTAGCAGAGCCGAAATTGCTTCGAGGGTTCATACAGCGAAGAGGGCCAGAACAGTTCCATTAAAGGGTCCTACAAGGGTAATTACAAATGTAATTATAGTAAGGAGCCGTAAGGAATCATACTCATCATTATTCAGGTTTCTTTGGACCAAGAAGATTACAAACAGAATAGGAATCGGAATAGACACGCATTCACAGCACAACATTTCCTTTTCAGGAGAATCCAAAGTACATTGCACATTTCATCAGAACGTGTAGCACACCCTTGCCCACGGACAAAGCACATCCACTGCACCTTCAACCTAAACTCTACACCCAAAGCCCTGTATGGAGGTTTCCGAAAATAGGGGGGACCTTATTTGGGGGTCCTTATAATAAGGATCCTATTATTTCGGGTACTATATTAGGGTCCCCTATTTTCGGAAACCCCCGTATGTACCACAAGCCATACACACGACTCTCTGGAGAGATCCAGCTAAGGGCGCAGGCCTTTACTGCCAAGCCTTCCGAAGCCCACCCAAGCTGTGTAAACCCTAGTCTCTAAAGCCTCTCATCCCTAAACTCCTGAACCCCAAACTCCAAGCCCTAAACTCCTGAACCCCAAACTCCAAGCCCTAAACTCCTGAACCCTGCAGCCCCTAACCCCTAAACTCCTAAACCCTAAACCCTTGGCCTTAGGGCCCCAGCACCCTTCAATGCATATTTGGGGCTAGGGCTGAATATGTCCCAGGCACTCGGGATTAGGGTGTAGGGTTTAAATTGTTTGTTCATTAGGGTTTAGGGCTTAAGTTGTCATGGGGTTTAAGGCTTAGGGTTTGAGTTCTTATAGGGTTTTGGGTCCGAGCTGTTATAGGGTTTAGGGTTTAGGTTGTTATAGGGTTTAGGGTTTTCAGGCTCTGGCTTGATATGAGTTGATCGGAGCCCTCGAAAGGTGGGAGGAAGGTAAGTAGGATTGAGGAAACATTAAAAATAAAAAATAAATAAATATATATATATATATATATATTATATATATATATATTATATATATATATATATAATATAAGGCTATTTGGGATTACCCCATCTAGCTTCATCCCCACCCTCTTGAAACCCTCTTGAGTTAAAAGCATGCCGGTTCTGACATAGACGTTGCCGATCATGTGGTCGCATAGATTATCTACCACCACCAAGTCCTCACGAGGGATGATCCTGAAACATCCTGACGCTGCCTTACTGCGCCCTGCCTAGCAGGAGGTAGTATATGGGGCCGTCTAGCTAGACCAGTTGTAGGGGGCAGGGGATGCTTCGCGCCGCTTTGTTGGACCCTTGTAGACGCTACTCGGACCTGAGATGAGGCAAGGCAGAAAGAACAAGCACCGATGGACTCTTGACAGCGGCGTGGAAGCTTTGACTGAGACCTGTTGCTCGGAGGGTTAGATCGGACCTGAAGCATGGAGGACTCAAGCAGGGCTGGTAATTCAGGGTGCTGAGTATCTGTTGGGTAGAGTGTCGGCGTGAAAGGCGCAAGACTACATTGCCGTTGTTACCTGAGCTTTCCCTGTTTTTAAGGCCCGAATCGCAGTCAAGCATAAGTGCTTCGCGAGAACGGATCCGATGCCGTGGCCCTCACCTTTGTTTCGTTCCTGTGTGCATCGTCCCATCTTCTAGGGATGCTCCAAGACGATTGACAGCACTCACTTGAAGAATCAACGTGGGGAGGTCTTTCAAATGTGGTGCGCTCCAGGGTCTAGGTCGTTGCTCTCTCTGCTGTGCTTATCCTGCTTGGGAAGCTTGGTCTCGAATGGGGCTGCGGCTATCAGAATAGCAAGTAAGATGGCTCCGCTATTGCAGTTCAGACTACACTGGTCGGCTTCCCCAATGGGGTGCTGGGCTAGCGGAGTCTTAGTCGTCGTAATGTTAATCGTCGCAATATTAATATTACAAATCAAATTAAACGATAGTAATCATAGCTCCAACAGATATGATGATAGTCATGAAGATTGGACCTGGGCTTGTGGTGTCGACTCGACGCCTCTCAATTTAATTCGGGTAGCTACGGCGTCTAAACCCTAAACTCTAAACCCCAAAGCCCTAAAGCCCTAAACCCTAAACCCTAACGCCTAGACCCTAAAGCCTTAACTACAAGCCCCAAGACCGCTACCCCAGACCACAAACCATTCCCGGGGGGCGTTGCTTCAGAGACATGTGGGTAGTTCCCTATATTCGGATCCAGGCCTGCTTAGGTCCCCAGAAACAGTACGGCGCCCTTATAAACAGGACCCTGCAAGGGGCCCTAGTTTAGAGAACCACCCAGTTGCTTAGTAAGGCGACCTGATTGAACCTGGTAGGGCTTCAGGGACCCATTTAAAGGTACCTATAAAAGGATTCCTATTCTTCGGGTTCCTATTCGGGTGCAAGAGGGCCGCCCTACGGCCTCTATGTGCCCTGCAAACAGAAGGTATCATCCTGACCCCCGCGCGGAATTCAAGAAAACTCAAAACCCTAAACTCTAAACCCTAAACCCTAAACCCTATAACCTCACCAGATGCTTTCTGATGTGCAAGAAGGATCCGGGGCTGACAGGAAGTTTTGGGAGTTGGTTCAGGTGTTGCCGGGTTTCTGTGTCTTCGAAGTCTTGCGAGGAAAGCCTTGACAAGCCCAAGAGAAATGCCAAAGCGTACGAACCTCTTAGCTCCAAGCCGTAACCGCGATAACCTGTGCGTTGGATCTTGGCAGCGCGGTTCCTCAATCTCCCCATAGTTGGCCAATTCCAGAAACACCTCAAGAGGGCGAAACAGCAACCTGCACCTGTCAGTACAGGGGGATCGGGAAAGAGTTTCGGAAGACGCAGCTCCAGTAGCTCTAATTTCACTGTTGGAAGATGTTGAAACCAACCTCCATCGCCCAAGCATTTGGGGTGGAGGATTTGGGCGCCCCATAGAGCGATATCTCAGCTTCATATCACAGCAACACATACCAGGGCTTGAGAAAAATACAGCTTGAACAGTACGTTGTGACTTCGGAGCTGTCGACCCAGATCTTGTGCTGTTTCTACCTGCTATACTGTAGACCTTGCAGTGCCTAAACTCGACCGTGCCTCCTTTATCAACCTCGGGACCCTAATGTAGAGGCCTTAATAATTACCTATACTATTTTGGGGGGTTCCTTATTATAATTATACTATACTATTTTGGGGGTTCCTTATTATAATTATAGTATAATATATCCCGAAACCCTATTCCAACTACTAAGGCCCTCTATTACAGGCTTAGCACTTGTAGCAAAGCTCCCGCAAAAGCTCCAACTCCCAAAGGAGGACTGCTGCAAAACCTCCGACTACTCCGTGTGCTTGAGCTTCAATATCCTTTCGTCTTTCACCTGCCACTTGGTGGTACCTGAACTTTCCTTAGCCGTTCCCCGGTGTCCGATCTCCTTAGTGCCTGTGCTGTACCTGTGAAAGTCCTTAGTGAGTTCTCATCTTCGGAGCAACTTGGTAGTTTCCGAAAACAAGGGGTACCTTATTTTGGGGTCCTTATAATAAGGATCCTACTATTTAGGGTACTATATTAGGGTCCCCTATTTTCGGAAACTCCCACTTCGTGGTACCTGGACTTTCCTTGGTTGGGTGCCTTGGCCGGGACCTCATGGGCCTGGTGGCATGGGTACCTGAAAAGTCCTTAGTGGATTATCCGTACCTGCGACTCCATGGTACCTGAACTTTCCTTAGTTGATTCCCGGATGTCGAGGCCGTGTCAGTGCAGATCGGGGTACCTCAGAGAGTCCTTAGTGCCTTGGTGCTCTTGAGACCTGCGACGTCACCGGTTTGGTGGCCCCTTAGTTTTCCTTAGCTCCAACTTCTTCTCTTCTTCGTCGGGTTTCTTGCCTGAGAGTACCTTAGTTGAGGGATCCTTAGCGCTCTCGGCCATTCCTTAGCACGTACTAAGTCCCTGAACATAGAAGATCCTTGGTGTGTTCGCGCATGTTCCTCAGTGCTGGAATCACTCGGCACAAAGCTCGTCCCGGTCTCACCCCTCGGTATACCAAGGCCGTCGAAGGTATCTGCGATCCCCGCACCTCCACGTAGAATGCCTCCAGGTGAGCTTGAGCGCGATCGTACCTGGAACTACCGGCTTGAACCCTGGATCCAAAAAACCAACTGGGGTCCTCATCCACAGGTGCTTGCTCAGGTTTTGCGCTACTCAAACCACCTAAGAGTCACAGTGTACAGCAAAGCAGCGAAGCAATGAAGCCTAAACCTTGAACGAAAGCCTGAAACAGAAACTAACCTTGAACCCTAAACCCCAAGCCTGAAACAGAAACTAACCCTGAACCCTAGACTGTACAGTTTGCGAATCATTCATCTCCAGCCCAAAGAGGGCTAAGGGCTTAGGACATACAAGCCCGATCCGGCTAACTGCCACTTTCATGCTACACGTATGTAGTGCTATTGCCAGTACCCTAAACCCGAAACTTGACCCCTAAACCCTAAACCCAAAACCCTGAACCCTAAAAACCCTAAACCCTTAACCCGAAAGTGATGTTGCAGGTACTACATCCTTCAGTCTGCTCACGGTCCGAAGCACCTTCACACTTAGAACAAGGTTCCGTGAAAGGGCTCCTGTCTGAGGCTTAATATAAGGGCTACTATAAGGGCTTCGTAAGGGTTACTCTAAGGGTTACTATAAGGGTTGCTATCAGGGTTACTGTAAATAATACGATAAGGGTTACGATAAGGGTTACTATAACCTTACTTTTAATATCCGGGGACCTTTGATAGTTTGAACAGGGTTTCGAAGTTTGGCAAAGTATGGTTGCAATAATGAGCAGCTTACTGTATGTTTGCTATGAACACTCACGACAAGAGCCCTAAACCCTAAACCCGACTTGAGACAAGAGATGCAGGGCCGCACGTGTAGGGGAGCGCAGAGTTGAGGGCTAAGATGGACTCAGGGCTATGATGGGCTGAAGGTTTGTGGGGTTTACGGTTTAGGATTTAGGATTCAGGGTTTAGGGTTTAGGGTTTAGGGTTTAGGGTTTAGGGTTTAGGGTTTAGGGTTTAGGGTTTAGGGTTTAGGTTGAGATATGTATCACTGCAGAATTTAGGGACTGTGGGTACGGAGTTTGCCATACAGGGGTAGCCGGTCTAGATAACGGCAGTGCTGCCCACTCTTGATTATGGAAGCTTACAACGTTTCAAGGGCTGAGGCTGTCTCGTCCGGCACAGAGTTGGCACTGCATACTTCCCTTTGCAGCTGAGACTGTCCTACACCACGATACTTGTGCAATGCTAGCTATACTCTCCAAGGTATTTCCTACGTTGCTTTTCAGTTTGATGGTCAGGACCCTAAACCCTAAACCCTAAACGCCTAAACCCTAAACCCTAAACCCTGAACCCTCAACCCTCAACCCTAAACCCTAGGACCCTAGAATCAAGAAACCAGGTAGCTATCAACAAGGAACTAGATCGGATACGACGGGTACGTGCTACCCGGGAGTTTCAGAAGACAAGGGATCCTCCTACCAGCCTCAAGCACTTTAGAATTCGTAGAACAAGACTTCCCAACCTTCAGAAACTCTAAACTCGAAGCCCTAAACCCTGAACCCACCCTAAAC